GCGCGCCAAAACACCATTATCAGGACTTCAACGCCACGAGTTAATCTGACTGCTACGCCTTGGCGATCCTGAATCGTGCAACACCGAAAGTCAACGTAACTGTTGCGCCCTGTCAATCCTGAATCGTTCCAAATCACCGTTTCTGGTACGTTAACCATGACAATCAGTGAACCCCTTGCAAAGCTTCGAAACGAATAAATATATATATATATATATATGTGTATACGGCGCTGTGACGAGAGCTATATGTTGAAAGAAAGAAAAAAAAAGCCCGCATGCCGTTAAACTCTTGCGCATGTTAGAACGATTTCTGCGCGGCGCTATCATGAGACCCACAGTTTGAAAACAACCCACCCTCAATCCGTGAAACTCTGGCAAGTTGTCAGACGAATGTGCGCGGCGCTGAGGCGAGAGTCACATGTTGAAAGCCACCTACCCCCAACCAATGAAACACTTGCAATGTTTTAAAATGAATGTACGCGGCGCTAAGGCTAGAGCCACATTCTGAAAACCACCCGCCCTCCATCTGTGAAACCGTTGTCAATCTTTGAGCATCAGGTTCATGAATGGTGAGAAAGTCTCAGGCAGAACGCAACGCCCGCACTTTCGATCGGCCTCGCGGTGCGACAGGGGAGAGTGATCGATATGGAAAAGGAATGGACGAGGTTGGGGAGGAGGGGGAAGGAGGAGGAGGAGGAGGAGGAGGAGGTAGTAGGAGGAGAGAGGATGGAGGAGGAAGGAAGGGAGGAGGAGGAGGGAAAGGAGAAGAGTGAGAGAGGAGGAGGAGGAGGATGGAGTAGGAGGAGGAGGAGGAGGAGGAAGATGACGAGGAGGAGGAGGGGGAGGAGGATGAGGAGGAGGATGAGGAGGAGGAGGACGAGGAGGAGGAGGAGGAGGACAAAGGAGGAGGAGGAGAAGGAAAAAGAGGAAGAAAAAGAGATGGAAAAGGAGGAAGAGGAGGTTGAGGAGGAGAAGGAGGGGGAGGCGGATGCACGTAATGGACCCCCCTTCGGCTGTCCGCCCCTGCTGCAGCCGGGGGGCAGCCCGAGGCCAGAAGACCGCCGAGCCTGGCCGGGCCCACGGAGCCGGCCTGGGCAGGACGCACACGGCGAGGACGCACACGGCCAGCGCCCTCCGGAGGCGGGCAGGGGCCGGCAGGGCCCCCGGAGGCGCGGGGGGCAGGGCGGGCGGCCCGGGCGCCCCCCGCGTCAGGCGGCAGGCTGCGCCATGCGCGCGGTGCGTCGTCGTCGTCGTCGTCCTCCTCCTCCTCCTCCTCCTCCTCCTCCTCCTCCTCCTCCTCCTCCTCCTCCTCCACCTCCTCCTCCTCCTCC